AAAGCCGGCATCTCCTGCCCACTCCCCTTATATATAATCACTTTCATGAGCTACTAGTTTACTTTGCAAATTCATATATGTATATGTATTTCATTCCCCCTCCTCGTTAATTTTTTTAGTTTTTAAATTTCAGATTAATGTGAGGGTACAAATGATTAGGTTACAAGGTTTGCGTTTCTTCAGTAAGGTCCCTGTTATGCTTATTCATCTGTAAAATGTGGAGAACATTGTGTGAGGTTAACCAGAAAGATACGCAGAAGGAGCCCACCACAGGACTGGGTCAAGTGTTCAGTACAGTAGAAGCTCCCTCTACGGTGTCCCTGCAGGCCTAGTTCCCTCTGCCATCCACAGACACCTCCTTCCCCCTGGACCATAGATAAAAATGCCCACAATAATGCCCAAAAAATGCCCACAGAGAAGCACAGATCATCCCACCTTTAGTGGTTTGTAGCTTTTACCCTAAAGGAAATAAACTTTCAGTCAGTTCTTAAATACACAAGAGGCCTATCCAAAGTCTGCCCTTGAGACGAGTTTAAACAGAGGCAGTCTTATATACATGCCTACAGTGAGTTCTTCCATCTTCAAACACAACCAAGGTCTCCAAGTTCCCTAACCTAATGGAATGCACTCTCTGATCTATCCAGGAAAGTCTAGGAGTGTTGTTGGGAGGAAAATTTTTCCTCTACCAACTTAGATTTCAGCACTTGGGGCCTGAAAATTAACTGACAGGTTAATAGGGGGGAAAAAGGTTTATTATGCTTCATGCAAGAGCATTATATACATATATGCAAGAGTTAGGGGTAAGGGTTGATATATCAGCTTTCTGGGGTGTGTGTGGTCTATGAGTGTGTGTGTGTTTTAAGGCTTAAGAAAAAATATGAAATATTCCAGCATGGCTTATTTATACAAGTCAATACATTTGGAGGTCTCAGTGCTAAATTAGCCTTCTCTCTTACAAGAGGCTCCCTCAGCAGAGGGAGCTGAATTCTCAAAAAGGCCTGTTTTACTCATCAAAGGCGAGTTTAGCCGAGACTTTTTTTCTGCAGTGCTGTTTGTTCAGGTGGTCTCAGATTGAAGTGGTCTTTGTGCCATTCTGATGGCCCACGTGAAACATAAGGAAATTTCATTGACAAGGAACTGCGCTGAACGCTATGGAAAGAAGACTCAGATTAGAAGTTAGGAGTTCAGAGAGCTGTGAAAGACAAGTAACAAATCAGAACAAGGGTGAACAAGCAGAAAAGAACAAATAAGAACTCACAGCCCCATGTTCTGTTCAACCTCCCACCTTCAGTCTCCCACTCCTGGAAATAGGTCAGTTAAACAATTGCGCCCCACCTATTGGCTGTGGAACGACGATCTGTTTTTTATGTAGACGCAACGTTACTTTGCCCATCTCATATGTGTAGAAGTGGCATCATTTGCCAACAATTGCATAGGCTTTTCCTTGTTGGGCCCTCCAGATATCCAGGACATGATGATTTTAGGGTACAGGCTAAATTGCTAAGTTTGATGTTTTTGTTTTTTGGCAACAGTCTCACTTTGTCTGCTTTGGAAGAGTGCTACGGCGTCATAGCGCACAGCAACTTCAAACTCTTGGGCTCCAGCAATCCTCCTATCTCAGCCTCCCTAGTAGCTGGGACTATGGTGCCTGCCGCAACACCTGGCTATTTTTTAGAGGCGGGGTCTGACTCTGGCTCAGGCTGGTCTCAAACTTGTGAGCTCAAGCGATCCACTTGCTTTGGCCTCCCAGAGTGCTAGGATTACAAGCACGAGGCACTGTGCCCAGTATAAATTGCTAACTTTTGATTGTCATTGTAGGAGACACCTGAAAAGAAAACGCCTCGGTAATAAGGGAATGGAGAAGGGATTGGTACCTGGTTAAAGAGCATGAGAGCACGTAGCACATAGGAGCGTGAGAGCACGTAAGAGCACGAGAGCACGTAGCACGTAAGGGCATGAGAGCACGTAGCACATCATACCATGAGAGCAGGTAGCACGCAAGAGCATGAGAGCACGAACCCATTGCTTCGCAGTCTCCACACCTGTGGTGCAAATATCCACGTAAGAAGCTAGTCGGGGCTCCTGCTAGACTCCTGCCCCAATTAGGGTCCTACTAGTCACTGCTCCTACTAAGACTCACTGCTGTACCTTTGAGGCACTCTGGCATCTCTGACCTGACTGAAATAACTGGCTCCTTCTGATAGCCTTACCTGACTGAGATAAAGGGCTTCTTGGCACATATGGAGAGCCATACCCCGACTGAGCGAGAATAGCAGTCTACGCCCTGGCAGTTTCATGGGCCGGGAATGGCGACCTAGTGTCCCAGCTCCCAAAGTCATTTTTCCAAGATTTGCATAGTGGCACTAAACCCTTGTTCCCTTACTTTGGAAATGTTTCCAATTGCTTTTTCGAGATCTTAAGTTCCCAAACTTGGAAAAAGGGTCTTTATCCAAATTGGCCTTGGTATTGCGATATATGAATAGATTTCCATGATGTCTCTTTGGGCACATACATGTCGTATTACTTTATATATAAAGGATCCTGGGTTTATAATTTGGAGAGCTTTTAAGGTGGTTATCTGGTGAAGGAAAGTCCCAGACATCCAAGTACATCATGCCCTGCCCATTTAGGTGGGAACCCTTTGTATACTGTGTATTGCCACATACAATAAAGGATTGTTAATGAACAAGGTCATATTGGAACTTGAGACCCACTGGGTTGGAGTCCAGGGTCCATCGTGACCTTTATGGGTCATGTTGGCGTCTGCACACTTCCATTTCCCACCTGCCTCCGTCAGGCTGTAAGAGCAAAACAGGTTGAAAAATACCTGGTGGAATTGCCAAAAAGAAGGTACTGCTGGGTTTTCTCTGGAGCTCATTTTATGTTTACGTTTTTATGTTTCACTTGTTCTGAGGATTTAGGATAGTAGGGGGTATAAAATTTTAATGAATAATATCTCAGAGTTTTGCACGCAAGTGATTTATTTCTGCTGTAAAGTGAGTTCCTCGTTCTAATGCAATTCATAAACAGCCAAACAAAACAAGGAATAACCTCAGCTGTTTGTTTCTTTACCACTGTTGTGCCATTAGCACAGCCCATCCATTAGACACGCAGTGAGAATAGTCTGAAACTGGACATAAATCTATTATAAAGCCCATCTGAAGTGTCACAAAGGGCAGCGTAGGTCTTAGAGGACTCCCTGCAGCATGCTGCTTACCTCCAAAATCCTGGTAAGATTTACAAGCAGTTATGTTGGGAAATATTTGGTCTGAAATGCTGTGAATGCCAGGGCAGAACCATGTGGCTTCTGGCTGCTTGATTATCCCATTCACACATGGAAATATTTTAAAATTTTCTGTATATGAATTATGATGTTCTGAAATAAAAAAAATTACTCCCTCACCCTCTGCCCAAAAGAAAAACAAAAAGTAAAAAAACCTTTCTAGCCTTTCTTGGGGGTAGTCAGTCCTTGAAGACAAAGTGCCCAACCAAGAACACGTCCTTGGTATACAAACCAACCAACCCAGAGCCACACCTCCTCCAGATGCCCCTCGCAGCCCAGAGGGTAATATTCTTCTGCCTTAGTCACCCAACTACAAGACATCCCTATAACCAGAAACCCACACAAATTATTCAAACTAGCTCATCCTAAACTATTCACCTTGGCCTGCCTTGCCTTTTTTTTTTTTTTGAGACAGACTCTCATTTTGTTGCCCTTGGTAGAGTGCCATGGTGTCATAGTTCACAGCAACCTCAAACTCTTGGGCTCAAGTGATCCTCTTGTCTCAGCCTTCCAAGTAGCTGGGACTACAGGTGTCTGTCACTATGCCTGACTATTTTTTAGAGATGAGGTCTCACCTTGGCTCAGGCTATCTACCTGCCTCAGCCTCCTGAGTGCTGGGATTACAGGCATGGGCCACCACGCCCAGCCATGCTGCCTTTTCTTTCCTGTGGAAACCCCAAATAAAGGCTGTGGCCTAAACCTCAGTCAAGGTCAAAAAGAGAAGACACAGGGGAAACTCAAGAAAAAATAAAGTTTAATACACTCACAGGTCCTAGAGACAGACAAGAGCTGTGTCACACCACAAGGGGCCACATGGGGAAGACACTAGGAAGGTCAGGGGTCAGAAGAGCAGAGTGATGGAAGGTTTAGGCCACAGACTCAATGCAATCATGTGGAGTGGAGCAGGTTCCTCCAGCATCCAGGAGAGTAATAATGCACCCAGGATTATAGCAAGGCAGAGGTACAAGATGACCTAGCATTGGCTGTCTGTCAAGCTGACAGATGCTCTCCTTTATGGATTTGTAGGAAGGTTGACACAGAATGGGAAACCCAGGCGAACAGGGGGACTCAGCATAAGGGGAAGGGTGGGGGCAGGCCTGAAGCCACTGAGTCCAACGGACAGGAAAAATATGCCATGGGACTTAATGATCATCCTAGAGTGGCCACAGCCATTCCATTGTTTTCACAAGATAGGTGGAAAGGTCTACTAAAATGGGTACATCGAGGGTAGGTTTTTGTGGAGGTGGGGTGGACAGTGATAACCTTGATACTTCACAGGCAGCTTCTTTGAAGGCAATACCTAAGTGAAGGCTTCTGTGGTTTTATCTGGGAGGGCATATAAAGGTTAGGCAGGGCCCAAAAATTGGGACTCCCTTAGCGGGAAGGGGCAGCTATTCCTACAAATTTGCATAACCATCTTTGGGAAAAAGATGGACAAAATTGATTCAAGGCATTCTGGGTTTGAGTACCCTCAGATATTCCAAGGCCTACATTGGTGACAGTTGCTTGCACCCACTGAAATTTGGCTCTGGGAGGCTTATGCCCTGCCATTAAGCTGCTTCTGATGTTCTCAAAGTAAACTTTATGCTGTCCTGGTGGATGGCGACTGCCTTCAACGTCAAATACCAACACTTGACCTGAACGTACCTTCAAAGCTAAGGTTAAGTTTTAATTCATCAAAAAGGTGCTTAAACCATAAAGAAATTTCTTCTGATTCAGCTGTGACTTAGGCTACAGAGAGTTTTAAAATCTCTTCTGAATTAGTACTTTACCCGTCTGTGTTAACCTTTTAAAACACAGTGTCAACTTTAAAAGGGCATTAGAGGCTCGGCGCCTATAGCTCAACTGGCTAAGGCGCCAGCCACATACACCTAAGGTGG